ACTCCAATTTCAGCAAGACAACTCTATTGTCTAGGTAGGATCTATACGACAAACGTGTCAGAGTGTATTGAAGTAACCCATGGTAAAAGCACGATGGAGACCAATATGCCTTTGATTCCACATCTCCTTTAGATACTTCTCCGCTGCTCGGTTGAATTCCCGCCCTCGAGCGTCAATCACTGCCGGCTTCACGCTCCAGCTGCGGACGCGGCGTCTACAGTCGCAATCGTGACATCGCAGCTCCAGGTCATTCTCCCACTCCTTCCAGTAACTGTCCAAGGGATCCGCAAAGCGACACTCTCTGACGCCAGCATCAGTAGTCTTGTCATCTAGATGACAACATTCCTCTTGAGGACTTAGAAACAGCTTCGCTAACGTCCTGGGCGTTTGCTTCAGGATGAACCATGAAATCAGGCTGTATTCGTTTTTTGCATCCCGGTACCAATCCTTTGGGCCGTGTCTAAGAAGCATGCGCTCCATGAGCTCCCGCAGCATTCGTAGAGCAGCGTGAAAATCAATTTCATTCTGTTCGTCAAGATAGCTCCTCAAGCAAAGCCGTTTCCTGCCGATTTCCGCTTCCACATGCCCCCATTCCAACACTGCGTAGATATGTTCGATATTCTTATCGAATGTCATCGATTGGCTCCTATGCTCTAGAAGGTCGTTGTACAGGTCCGATCCCCAAGACAGTACTAGACGCCGCCCAGGGCCATAGGTGGCTGGTTTCGTCCCATCTTTCACTTGCGGCATCTCGGTATCATGATAGGCATCTGCAAAGTGAAAGAGCACATGTAAGCCCCGTTCCAGTGTTTGTGCGAGTTGCAATTCAGCGTTGTAATCCATCTCAGGATTTCCGTCATCAATGTACGGGCCCCATACAGAGGGAATGATACGCCGTGCTAAATGACTTGCGGTATGTTGACGGTAAATGAATCTTGGGATTGTGTGCACTGTGACAGGTCGCTGGCCGCCTGTCTGCGGATCCAGTGTGATAAGAGGAGCAAAAGCGTTGATATTGTGCAGGCGCATGAACCAGCGGCAGATATGCGGCTCGATTGATCCAATCGTCTCATATGTCGATTTGTTGACAAGGCGGAGGTTTAAGACCGCGCTTATGTCTCCGTTTATGATAATTTGGTATAATACATCAGCGACACGGCCGAATAAGTCTTTTGTTGTACCCATTTGCGCATCTGAATTCTCCTGCATGTTCGCAGGTTTAGCACAATCTTTGGTTTTCCCAATCCCAAGGCAAGAGATCAGATTACAAGTTATATCTTACCTCGACACGGAAGTCCACTTATGTAGGTCCCAAGATCTAACATTGCTGTTCGAGATTTGCACTATATCCAATAAAGTGGCCAAACACATTGGCCCTCCTTGCAGCAAGGGGATTATGAGCTGATGTGTACAGTGTACTTGGGCAAACGATTATAAACGGTGTGACGCGTTGAATTTCTTGAGTGCGTTCTTGGCTGTTATGTTTCTGTCGGGAGGATTGGGTATGTTATGCGGGTCGTCAGACGATCACAGCTTGACTGGTCAATTTTCAAAGTGAGAACTCAAAATAAAACCTGACCCTTACCGGCTCACAAAAGATCTTTCCCGTGGGGGAAATTGAGTTCACTTCAGAGAATCGCAGGCTCGGCCACGCCTCGCGCCATGACAACGAACAGATCCTCGTAACGAGGTTCGCCGTTCCGTCGCTGCATGTTCATCAATGCCACGGCTCCCTTGCAACATCACACGGAGCGAAAGGAACATCGCGACTGAAAGCTAAAGTGCCTAGCTCTTCCTATATGGTCGGCATACAGAGTAGGATCAACAGTTTGACAACAACTATCGCCTGATGGACTCAATAGTCCGCCCATTAGTTGTCAGAGTGGCTTGGCGGGAACAAGTCCCGGAGCATGCGCTACCGTGAGGCATAAGAGAATACTCGGAGTACGGCGTACGTTGGATCCTCAACTCTGTAAAAATCATTATCATAATAGGACTGACGGCAAAAGGGCTTGGAAAGGTATCGGATCTGATGTCTGCTGGTGGACGAACTGTCTCCATAGTTCGGTTTAAACTACTCTCGGCCTAAACCCAATCGGTAATTTCCCCTCAGGCACAAAATTTCTGGAAAAAGTTGAAATGTTTCCCCGCAATTTCTCCATCTCCAATTTATCAAGTCAAAAAAGAAGCCTGCCAACTCAATCGGAGTTAGTTGGCGGTTTCATGAGTGTATGCGACATCCATAGCGATCTGCCTCTGACTTCTATATCCCCGTTCAGCGCACGCATGCCGCGTCCTCGACCCCTCCCACTCCCCGAGGAGTGGACAGATCCCGACGCTTACGTTGACGCCCTCCTGTCCTTCACGACCTCGTCTGAGCTATTCATCCATGTGTGCGGGGGTGTACATATACTTGACTTTCTGACTCGCGAACCCGATTTGTACGATTCACTTCTGCCACTGCAGTGGCGGACATTCTTCGAGAAGCACGACATTCAAGATATACTAGACCTATTGTTGAGAGAAGATATACCACCGCTGTTGCAGCAGAGTTGCGAGTTCTCTGAAAGCGATCCGAGTCGAGATGTTGACGCTAGTTGGAGAGGGCAGCCTCTCCCTCCAATCGACCTTCTGCAATACATTCATCAGATCCGTCGTCTCAGCCTGGGGAGAGATTTCACATCAAGACAGTCGGGCAAGGTGTCGCTACCTCACCATCTTGCGGTGGGAATGAATCAGAAGAAATATCACGAGGTTGCGCACTTTTCCAAATATGTTAATGATCTATGTGACACCGTTGCGGAAGAACGGGGCGAGGCCATATCGCACATTGTCGACTTCGGATCAGGCCAGAACTACCTTGGACGGACCCTAGCAAGCCCTCCTTACAACAGGCATATAATTGCAATCGAACGCAAACACCAGTTTATCAGCGGCGCGAAGGGTATGGATATTCATGCAAAACTGGCGAAGAAGCAGAAGAGAATCGTCTACAAGACCAATGGCAGCAGGAACCGCAAGGGCTTGGAGGATGATCAGGATACGACGCCGTCCACTCCTGAAGTGGAGGTAGTTGAAAACGTACCTAATGATGCTTCCGCCGAGCCTGGCGCTGGCGACGGTGAAGATAGCACGTTTTTCAACGTTTTGCTGGACATTGATATCCAACCGGACGAGTGGGGAACTAGTCCTTACAAGAATGGGCCACCCAAGAAATTTGTGGGTAAGAAAGAAGATGAACTTGTGCTCAAAGGAGCCATGGATTACATCGAGCACGAGATCAAAGACGGATACCTGGAGCCTATAATCAAGGATGTGATCAAATCTCAATCGTCAGAGACCGAAGGCTCCCAAGGCTCCGTCGTTGACCGAAACTCAAGATCCGAGGGAAAGGCAGAGGATCCTAACGTCATGGTCATTTCCCTTCACTCGTGTGGCAACCTTCTTCATCATGGTGTCAGATCTTTAGTACTCAACCCGTCTGTCAAAGCTATCGCAATGATAGGATGCTGTTATAACTTGGTGACTGAGAGGCTAGGCCCGGCCACATACAAGCTCCCCATCCTCCGCACTCAACATCCGCGCTTGACTCAGGATGCCTGTGCGTATGACCCTCATGGGTTCCCCATGTCGAAACGTCTGGAATTGTATGAACATGTCAGTGGGACTGGCGTGAAACTGAATATCACCGCACGTTCGATGTCTCTACAAGCACCCTACAACTGGGGCAGAGAAGATAGCGAAGCGTTCTTCACGCGGCACTTCTACCGAGCCCTTCTCCAGCGCATTTTTGTCGACCGTGGCGTGGTAGAGAAGCCTGTTAACCCGACGGACCTCTATGGTTTGGAGACTGGCGGTCCTGATGCGGTAGGAAATCCTTTGATTGTCGGCTCGTTGCGAAAGGCCGCTTTTACGTCGTTTTCTGCATACGTTCATGCCGCAGTGGCAAAGCTGAGCAAGGACCCGCACAATGGAGAGAAGGTCAAGGCAAGGATGGCCGGTATTACAGAGGAAGAAGTGAAGCGCTATGAAGCGGAATATTGGCCCCGAAAGAAGCATCTTAGTGTCACTTGGGCTTTGATGGCTTTCAGTTCAGCACTCGTCGAGGCCCTCATCGTCGTGGACAGATGGCAATTCCTACGTGAACATGACTCTGTCAAGGATTGCTGGGTTGAGCCGGTTTTCGAATACAGCGAGAGCCCTAGGAATCTTGCCGTAATCGGAATTAAGAAATGATTCCGTGACCTGTTCTTGGCAGAATACTGGACGAATACACGCTTTGACGGTCCGCCGTGAGACATTGGGACGACAGCTATTCATGGCCATCCATCTAGCATGGCAGCGGTCGCATTGCCCTTCATGACGCATAATCGGTGTTCTCATTCCTAAGCTGGACCAGGCACAAAGCATGGAGCAGAGACGAGCTCCTCAAGACGGCTCATCGCGATGCGGAGGCCCGATGCGCGTATAATACCGCGAGGCGACATAAAAATAGACCCTGCACTTTCTGCGAAACCAACAGAGCGACGGCCAGCTAGAGGTCTCCTGAGTTTTCTATCATCATTTATGTGGAAGAAGGGTAGAGTTACGATTGATGACTGTATAGACATAGAGTGCGATAGAGGTCCTTTGAGACTTTATACCAATGCATTAACGAGCAAATGGCAAACGGATGCTTCTTTCTCTTCCGATGTGGCTATCACTCGAGATACATGGTCTATTGCCCCCACATTCGGGGGTGTATTTGGTGTGGTTTGAGCTGTCGACATCGTTAACTCCTTCAGCGTCATCGTTGTTAGGAATACCGTGGTACCCCAAGAAGACAGTAGTAAGCAAAGTGATGACTGACTGGGTGCCCGCCTTTTCGGAGTCCGCGGGTTCCGACGCCACTGTCATTCCGATACCCAAGGCAACACAATTCGCAATTTGACGATAGCAAGACTACTTCATCCTCATATGTGCCGAGTGCCGACAAAGATACTAGTCGCTCCAGAGTCGATATGGCTGACAAGCAACAAATGGAGGCCGAGGGAGCCGAATATGACAGGAAGGAGCTTCTCAACAAGCGCGCGGTGAGTGCAGGGTAGTATGCAAGGGATTGGCATTTGCTAACGAGCTGCAGTGTGACCAATGTCGTCTCAGAAAGGTATGCTAACTGGGGAATTGGTGCCCTGAGCGCTTGGGGTCACATTGTATTGCTGTTTTTTTGAATTGACCATGCGTACTATCGACAGATACGTTGCGATAAGCGATCACCATGCTCGAATTGTCGCAGTGCAGGAATCGTCTGCCGCTCAACAGGTGCAGGGCAGAAACCCAAGGAGGATCGCAGGCGGGTTCTAATTTCTAGCCAGTAGTAAGTAGGAGGCATTTGGCCCTGTCAATGCTCTTGTCTGACTTGCTACAGCGAGAAGAAGATCGATCTTATCGAGGAACGTCTGGGTAATATTGAAGAAGTCCTTCTTGAGTTGAAATCTAGCCTTGCTCGCAATCCCACTACCGCTGAGCAGTGCTACCACGCGACTCCTGTCTCGAAGCAAATGTCTCCAGATACATCTGGCTTCGCTTCCAATACAACAGCCGCGTTGGAACATGAGTCTGGTACTGGGTTTGAGGGCAACTCATCCCTCGCGGCTCATTCCGCCTACGCAAGTGCGTTTCTAGAGACCGTCGTTTCGCGAAGCGCGCCTCAAGTTTCTACCCCGAAGATCAATGCAGCGCTCGCGGCACTAAGGCAGATCGTGAACATGCAGAGTCACCCACCTGGGTCTTCGTCAAAAGACGTTCCATTGCCGAATCAGAAAAGCGGCCGGAGTTCGAACTTGCGAGACTTGGTCATGCCCCCAACTGAGGTGGTTCTGCCAATTTTGCGCCAAATAAAAGGTACTTTTCTCCAAGCGTTCCCATGATCAGAGTGAACAAGGTTGACGCATAGCTAGAAAATCTTCCTTTGGCCTTCGCATGCTACTTTCCTTTCCTCAGTGTTGATGACTTTATCCAGAAATGCCGCGAGGTGTACTTTGCAACAGAAGATTACTCTGACGCCACTTTCATGGTAGTTAATTGCGGCTTGTATCATATCTTTCTTGAGTATAGCTACTTTGCGGAAAGTCCACGGATTCGAGACGATTACCAGAAGTACATCCAGCTTTGCCGAAAAAATTTCGAATCCGTGCTAGCAAACTTGACATTGTTGATGCCGGCAAGACCGGAGTTAATTGAAGCGCTTACCCTGGGAGTAAGCTATTCGCTCTCGCTGTTGCTCAGCCAAGTCAACTAACCGTTCCTTCTCTTAGGCTATTCATGCCATTGAAATATCCAAACCTTCGTTTGCCTGGACGCTGACGTCAAATGCAGCTCGGCTGTGTCAGAATCTTGGATATCACCGGAGTTCATCGATGAATCAGTTTAGCGACAACGAGAAAGCAAAAGCGCTTCCGCTCTTTTTGTGTGTTTACTGTCTCGACAAGGCTCTTTCACTCAGACTAGGACGTGCATCATCTATACAGGATTATGATATTACCATCCCTGAGGATTTAGGAGGGCACGAAGTCGACGAACCTTGGAGAACAATGTATCATCTATGGGTGAAAATCGCTGGGATTCAAGGAAAGGTTTACGAGCAGCTTTACAGTCCGGCGGCTTTAAGTCGACCGGAATGCGAAAGGGTACTTTGCGCTCGTCAATTGGCGTCGGAGATGGAAGTAGCCGTCATGGAACCATTCAAGGTAGGCATTCCGTGGAGATCAAGTCACCACAAGGGAAGCTTTTTGATTGACGGATCCCCAGGAGCTCGAAAGGTCGTCTCGTCCTCTATCGGAAACTGAAGGCTTCTTGATTAAATCGGATGAAGTCAGCAGGTTGGCTATATTGACTTTAATATACAGAGCGATTCCTGCATCAGGGGCATCCACCACCACTTTTGTAACCGAATGCATAGAGACGGCACGGGCTGCATTGGAGTCGCATCAGGTTTGCATGACAAGTTTGAGGGAAAGTAACGAGGCTATGAAATGCTCATATCTGCATTGGTGAGTGTGTCTTGTGTTGTCTTGGTGAAAAGATGTCCTCTTTCTGATGATTCTTCAGGTCCATTCTCTACTCGCCGTTTGTCCCATTTATAGTTCTCTTTTGCCACGTCATTGAGACTTCCTCTCGAGACGATCTCGCGAGACTAGAAGACTTTGTGTCCTCACTCGGACCTAACTGTTTCCTTTCCGAGGCCATCACGAAACTACATAGCCTTTGTCAAGTACTCAGCAACGTTGCGACGCTATATGTAGAGGCGAGAGCACAGGCCCGGATACAGGAAAACCAGGATCTAGCATCTGTGGGTCAGGAGTTCGATACATATCTGAGTGCTCTTGGCTTGGCCCCTGCATCAGGAGGCGGCGGTTTCCGTTGGAATACTGCTGCGTCGGATTCTTTGGCAGCAAGGTCTATGCCTGCACTTGAGAATAGTATGGAAGGACATGACCTTCCAGCTGGCGTCATACCACAGACACAACTGGGAAGCTGGTTTTCTGGAAACCAGCATATGATGGGATTGTTGGAAGAAGATATGTCATTATGGGATCCGGCTACATGGCCTTACTCTTGAAATGTGACCACAGACGAAATCGGTCGTACCGAGATGATTCGCTTTAGATCATATACACTTGCCACCATCGACGATCATCTCCGTGCCGTTGATGAAACTGCCCTCGTCACTGGCAAGGTACAAACACATATTCGCCACATCATCTGGGTCGGTCAACCGGCCGAGGGGCACATTTCCGATAAACTTTTCGCGGTTCTCAGGCGTGTCCTCCATGCCGGTGAACATGGAGAACAGACCAGTCCCAGACAAGAGGGGACTGACTGTGTTGACGCGGATATTGTGGGGACCGTACTCAGCCGCAAGCCCTTTGGTGGCCTACTGTTGTCAGCTGGTAGAGTTCAACAAAAGTCAAGCACAGGAGTCATACATTGGAAACAGCGCCCTTGGATGCATTGTACCACACCAATCCCGGTCGCGGCCTCGAGGCTCCAGTGGAGGAGATGTTGATCATAGAACCTCCTTGGCCCTGCTGGATCAACCGCCCCATCAATGCTTTCGATGCCAGGAAGATGCTCCGAACATTGACATTGAACACACGTTCCCACTCCTCCTCGGTGACTTCTAAAGTGGGCTATAGGGCACGGACGTCAGCCAAGGGGCACCTTAATAAGATTCACACCGACATCACCCATCGGGAACAGGCAAGCCGTTGTTCATCTGGTAATCCGAACCTTATTCCTGTATGTAGTTCCGGCATTGTTGACCAGCACGTCCAATCGACCGAACTTGGCAAAGGCAAGATCCATGACATCGTCCCAATCCGAAGCGCTCGTGACGTCCATCTTGTGAAAGACCAAATTTTCGGGATTTTGTGACGCAATCTTCTCTCCGTTCTCAACATTGATATCGGCGACAATCACCTTGGCGCCCTCCTCACCGAAGCGCCGAGATATGGCCGCGCCGAAACCCGAGCCTCCTCCTATGCCTGGTCAACGAGACTTCGCGGTATTGCAGTGGTGCGTGGGGAATCTAAGGAATACCTGTTACAATGGCAACCTTGCCCTGAAGACGGGCACCGGCTGGAGCTTTGGTCATTTTGATTCCAGCGTATCTTGAACCAAAATAGATCGACAGTGGTACAGCGTATATAGCGTATAAATAAAGGCAAAGACAAGGCGCCATTTATATACCCAAAGCCTATAGCAAAGAGGGGTTAACTCGTGCGGAGTCACCACGGCGCAATGCCGACTCCCGAGTCGATCCTCAGCATCGGCAGTCTGTACCCCTTTCTCCCATGAATGGTACAACCCATTCAGGTCCACAAACTTTCGAACCTACAAGTACAAATTCAAGAAGTTATTGCTCTTGATCGCAGTTGAAGGTGGCGTGATACGACAACAAACAATGCCAACCCTGCGGGGTATTTTCTCTCATACATCCATTTCCCCGGGAAGATGGCCGCAGCCCCCAACACCTCCCGGAGTTACTCCATAGCCGTAACTTTACCATGGACGATTAGAAACTGAGGTCAGCCATAGTTTATATCAGTCGTCTCTCAGGTGTGCCCAGGCTCGATTATCCGATCTGTCTCAATTCCGATTAGTCTCCAGACCAGTCTTTGGTATTCCAGTGTCCTTACTCCTTACGCTTTGGCAGGCGCAGAAGGAGTAATTATTAAGCATTTCATTTCCAAAGTATGTTCAATCCTCGTGTATAGAATAAGTACAATGTTATGTTCGTAGTAGAATATTCATCGGTAGAAGTAAGAAAAGAAAGAATAAAGATGGTGAGGGTATCATCCGCGTAGCCAATATTAACCAACCCAAGCCTGTACCTCCTTTCGGCCCCTAAACGTAAACGCCTGTAGTTTCTGTTGACAGACGCTTAGTGCGTCGTCACCGACGTCGACACGTCCACCGTCTTCATAATACCCATAGCCTCCGACGGGACGATCCGCCGCGACGACGTATCTCCCCGAATCGACGTCTCGATCTTCGGATCCCCCTGCGCATTGTGCATGAGGACCTCCTGATCGGACCCGGTATCCAAGTAACTCATCTGGTGTTTGCCGCGGCTCAGTCTCCGGTCCGTGCGGCTCTGCTTCGTCACTTTGCTGAGTTCGTGTGTGGAGGTATGCGTTGCTTTGTTGCTGGAGTATTCGTGGAGGACTCGGCTGAGCAGAGCGGAGAGGGACGGCAGGCAGGCGCAGATGACGCCGATGGCGATTTCGGCATTTCTGCGGGAAGGATTCGCTGTTAGTCCTTTTGCCTGTGTGGTGTCGGGGAATGAAGGCGAAGAGGAAAAAAAACGGGAACGCACCCAAACATATTGATCCGCATAAACGAATACGTCCCGTCTTTGGACTGGCCGGTTTTGAGAATGAGGATGAGACGGACAACGCTGGATGCGCAGGCGAGGCCTCCGGCGCCGAGGATGCCCATCACGCGCAGCTTCTTTCGCATGGCCATTTGCAGGCTCAGAGTTAGCGGGAGCGGCAGGATGAGGATGATCATGTCGCTGACGACGCTGACGACTGCGTCGGCGAGGATGATTGCTGACTGGTCCAGGCAGGTGCCGTTTGTGTTTTCGTTCCAGAATCTTGCGATGGGATTGCAGATGCGGATCTTGACGATGACGGCGGGGATGTAGTAGAGTAGCATGATTACTAGAAAGACATAGATAAAAAGAACGGCTTTGCGGTAGGGACTAAAGACCCTGGTCATGATCCAGAGAAGTGAGATTTTGGTGAGAAATGCCGTCGGTCCGTACATGACCATTGTCACGTAGACGGTCTACGGTGGTTGAGGTTAGGGACTGATGAATCTGGTAAGAGATTGGGGAATTGACCAGACCTTATGAAAAGGGATCAGGTAGGAGTTTGGCACATCACTCTGGTGCAGTCCTCCTCCATAATGTCCCACTGCGAGCTGTTAGCTGCCAGAGTTGCAATTGGAATTCAAATACTAACTGATGAGGGAGATGATGGAGTACATGACTCCAAGGAACTATATCTCCCACCAACGTCAGTATGGATGGATAAGTCATAAGCGAATGGCTACAACTGGTGAAGGAAATTGTATACCCAAGCGCCCATGCAAGTCCCTGTATGATGGTCAGTATCTCGCATTGGATTAAGCAATTTTTGACCACGCACAGTCTTCCTTCCCGAACCCATTAAGAATGAATATCCGAGTGTAGACTCGCAACCCGAAGAATACAGTCATGGCCACGATACATAGTATCTGAGTCGCCGTATTCCAATTCTGCATCGACGTGTCCACGGTATCGCCAACATCTCGCCCAAGCATCACTGCGAGAGCCATGGCAATGGCTCCCCCGCGGTACACTTGAATAAGAGATACAGTATCTAGTGCTGGATCCGATTAAGGAAATCTTGAGCGCGGAAAAGAAAGGACATTAAGAAGGAATCATGACCTGATGGATCACATAGGAGTGATATTTGTATGAAACAGAACTGTGGACTACAATTCACCTATGAGGGATGCGCTAGACCTTCATCTAAGAGCGTTGTCTGTGTCGATTCTCCATTCTTCAAGATCGATTAGGCAGTTCCCAGCTCCACACCCCTGACCATCGGGAGAGTCGCCTATTGTCCAGCACCACCAGAACGGTAGACTCGACGATCGACGTTGACACGGAAACTCTTGGCCTGTCCTTACAGAAGTTAGCTGGAAAGTTCCCTGCAGTCCGGTCATACGACAATACATGAAGTAACTGACGATCAGGGTAGTAAAAGTACTGGGATGATCTAGTTTATACATCAACATGGAGGTGAGGATTTAGTGTAATGATACAATTATGTTTGACAAATTAATGAAATGCTCCACAGTGTGTTGGGCTTCCTACCGACCCGTAAATTTCTACAATAGAGGCAAGTATTCTGTGTCAGCAGGGGCAGCAGGGCAGCATTGACGAGATTTATCTACCTCTTGTCAGACATGAGCATACTGAACTATACTTTGAGTAGTTAGAGTTTTGACCGTATACCATATACGGCAGGACGTTTAACATGCCAGGAACGATCTAATGAAGTCCACATAGGAAGGTCGTATTGCCTTCGACACTCAGGATTCTGGCAGGATTCGGCCGGTCTTAAGACAGCCAGGCTATCTTGATAGTCGGCGAAGACTGCCTAGATACACGGGACGGGCTTATTCGCAGAGAAGAGTCCAGGCAACTTCCAGGTTATCAGCCAAGCAAAATTGATTGGTTTCAATAATTGCTCAGAGCAGGGCTAAACAGTCGTGGAAATGACTGTTTTAGTCAATTTGGCTGAGCTGCTGGTTTTCGTCCTACAAACAGAGAAGCTTCAGAGACTTCACTCTTGCTGGAGATCTGACCCTATTCATAAACTTATGTTGCCGCTTTCAATGGTCCATGCATTTAAGATGAGATCTATGGTACTTTGATGGTTCATCGAGATAGCAGAGCCATGGTAGCACAAAGTGCAACCGTGCAAAGCATGGGCCGATGGCAGTCAATTCATCAGAGGGAAAACGCCACCAGCAGCCACCCATTCCGGCCCCCACCACAAGAAAAAGCAAAGTCAAACAAAAGAAAAGAGAAGGAAAATGAAGAATGACAAAACGGGATAAAAGACGGTGATCCTTGAGGTTTCTCTGACAAAGGCATTATCATGCAAGCTTCATACCCCCTGTTCCTTAGTATCATTACGAAGGATCATTTTTAAGACCAACAATAGGGCAGCCTTAATACCAGCTTACCCCACAGCGGGGATCGGATCCCACTTGCCGCCACCGCGCCGCCGCTAGGCTGTGTCCTTTCCTAATTGGGATAAAGAAATGTGAGCTACCATTCACCGGCGAGGGATGAAACGGTAAGCTTTGGTATTACACCAGTAACTTTGGTGACGGTCGATCATTGGGATCCCAATCTACTTGAGTTTACGGTGATATAATCCGTCAGATTCGCTTAGGAGCTTGACTTCCGGCATATAATACCATCAGCATTCTAAAATGTGTGGCTCTCGACGGACGATACTGAGGACAGTACTCTTGAGAGTAGAGAAATTTCAAATGTCGCAGTAGTCTCACTACTATTAAGACTAGTTTCGGACGATAAACTCTAACCCGCCTGACATTTGTCGATCACTTATGAAGAACAGAAACTGCCGGATTGACCACCACAGACCAGGATGGCGTGGTTTCAGGGCATGGGGCCGTTTTTCAGGCTTCTACAATAGAAGCTCACATCTTGCTTCCGAGGTGTCGTTCTTTAAGTCTCTCGTAGGTTCTCATCATAATTCCGAGCTGAAACAGGTCTCAGTTTAGTGTCAACGCCGGAGTCTGTCCTAAATTCCCGAACTCCGAGGTAAGTGCTGAATGCCGAGTTCCAGTCGCGTGTCTCTGGCGGTTTAAAATTTTCAGTCTGCAGGAAATAGGGAGACTGTGGACCCCTTATATGCCAGGCAGGTCCAGACATTAAAGTACTGAAGATGGTCGCTGCTTTTTTGCCCACAGGAAGTTCCACAATGTATGTCTGTGGTTTTGCATTTGGGGTTTCACTTGGAGCTATCAATTGGAGCTATTGCTTGGAGTAATACTCCGTAGAGGTTGCATACTCTTCTCCTATTCGAGCTGTCCAGGACAGGAAGGTCATTCTGACTGTTGCAATGCACCACAATAGACCAGTGGATAGTCTCGACTGGGCTTGGGGAGTGGACCAGTGACTGTGCTCATCTCGGTATTTACTTATAGCCTGAACGGTGAGTAGTGCTCCGTTGAAACGACTAGCCTACTCTGTACATCGACTTCCGTCTGTGTAGGAACTACTCCGTAGTAGGGGCATCATCATGAATCTGATACGGAAACAATTGCAAAGCTTCATGTTAGACATAGTTGTCATTCCTCGATGTCATCCCAGGGATTGTGGTTCACATGTCATGCCGCTGCCTTACGTAGTCTGGCATCGTCGAAATTTTCTTAACGATCAGTCGATTCTTCCCTATCAGTACATAATCTAAAAGATTGCCATCATATTTGGAGGAGACGACACTCCACCAGGCATGTTCAAGGGCACCGAGGCGACGAAAAAACTCCAGCGCTGGAGCTCCTGGCATGTGCGCGCGAGCGCTTCCAGATCGAAAAGTTCTCCTATTTATCGGTAACACCAACCATTAGCACTGCACTTTGAGTTGCTATCTCAGTAATCAGAGGGTTGACTTACCAATTGGCATTCCCCATCCGGCAAGCACATACTCATGCAAGAACACATCAGGGTTCTGTGGCGGATAGACCTGTCATATCACGCAACGTCAGCCAAGTCCACATCTTTTTTTGGTTCAACGGTCGTGTCTCACCTCCCAGCTGATCGCATCACTAGCGATCGCCGCAAACCCAGTATTCCACAGCCATCGAAGCACTTCAGTGGTTGCTTCGACTCCGGCGTGCTCTGGGCTCGGGTTATCCGAGTACTGCTGCTTCTGCGCATCGGTCATGATAGTATCCCATTCCTTGGTGACCCCGACCCGCACAAAAAGGATATCGCCCTTTTGGAATGTGATGTTGCATTCTTTGGCAATCTCCAAGATGTCCGACAAGCGTACCTGGTGCGTCGAGAAGGTGGTATATTTGATCCCCTTCTTCTCTGCCCATGTCGCGTAGTCAATCAAGACTCCTCGTCCTAGTTTCATACTCAGTAACCAGGTTCCATTGACATGTGAATTGAAGCTTACCTGCAATTCCCTCCTTCGCCCAGTGCTGCAGACCAATTCGGTCGTTCTTACGGTCATTAATCTCCTCAACCGTCGTGCCGCCATAGAATACACGCTCTTTCTGACCAGGGACAGTTTGCGAAAAGTGCCTTAATCCATCCCATTGACTACTCTGCTCTGAATAATGACCGTTAGCCCCTGAAACTTCAAAAGCTTGGCAAGACCTACGAGGATTCATCGTATATATATCATCAAACGCGACTCCGCCAAGCAGCGGAATGATCTGATGATTGCAGGGCTGTCGGTTCAAATTCGGATAGTCAAGCTTCGTCATATCCCAGTTCATTGTGACTCGTCGGCCGGTCTTGATCTCAGCTGCCGCTGCCTTGGCCACTACCTCTGGTGTCAAAATGGCGAGTTTTCCCAGTCCCTCTTCATGGCTCCCCGGCTTTCCGACCCAGACTTGTCTAGGGTTGGGGAGTTCATCGAAAGGGATATCCCAGGGAGAGTGACTTCCCATGATGCGATTCTCCAGAGGTGAATTGGGCCAAGATATATGGAAGACAAGACTATTCAATGTTAATTTTAAGGTCTATAGCATGCAGGGTTCTGCAGCATTCTACTTCTATCGCGCACTAGCCGGAGTAACTATCAAGCGATGGAGGGGTCAAGGAGGGGAAGCTGGTCTTAGTCTGTAGGGTTGAATCAGATAAAAGCGATATCAGCACTCAACACTACCTAAGCTCAAAGTACGAACTCCGGCGTACAGACTACAGAGTCCGGACGCGGCATTTGGAAGCCGCTTTAAAATTTTATACACCAATTGAGCGCCAATTATAATTACGAGCAGCTAGCTGGTAAAAACCAGGATCCTCTTCTTAGTGCATCCTTGGGCGCCTCTGAGAGCATGTTGCGCATCACTTGGAGTATTTTAAAGTCTGCGAGTACTTTCTGCGACTGATTCAAGTCCTGACTCCTGAGGCATTTGGATCGCAATAGGAGCGCTTTGGTTTGCATAGCATGTCTCTTGTCAATAGTCGTCTCTAGAACATAATAACCAGCTTGATTAATGAGCGCCAAGCTACACTATGGAGTGTCTAGTGTATTAAGGTACTCTTGAGCATACGAGGAAGGTGAGAATTGCGCCAGGTTCTCGCACGATGGGAACTACTGTATTGTAACAACAATACAAACAGTGGTAAGGTAATGTAATCGAACGACCGGGATGGAGTGGGGACGGATGTCAAAGGGCGGAGCCTGCAAATTATAGAAATATATGATTGGCTACATTGCGACGGCAGACCCCAATAAGTCTTGACGAGACTCAGTTTTGGCCCCTCTGTCTCTGTTAATCATTACCAGACTATCTTCTAGATGCATGGGAGAATGTACTACGACTGAACGGCTGCAGTCTAGCGATGGTCTAGCAGCAATCTATGCGCAAATAGCGAAGGACTCAACCTTCTGCACCGAACCCTCAAGGCTTAATCCTTCCTTTCTCATCAATCTGCAGCAAGTGGACCGCGACCCCTCGTCTCCTTGGCCAATGATGCACACAGTATGGAGTCATTTAACGCAAATCAGGCCATTCTCAAGGCTGGACCGACCAGCGAGGAGCAAGTGCAACCA